TTTTTTTTTTTTTTTTTTTTTTTTTTTTTGGTACTGGGGAATGAACTCGGGACCTTGCACTTGCAAGGCAGGCAAAATGCCACTGAGCCAAATCCTGGCCCTCCATTTTACAGATTTGTGAGGCTATTTCATAGCATTTTAGAAAGTAAATGAGAGTAAAAACTGACATAAGACTATACCATGCCTTCAATAAATATCAAATTAGCCAACCACTATAGCAAGTGATAAAAATAAAAACATTCTATTTTTAAAACCTAATTTCTGAGTTAACAGTACTAAACTTGAATCAGGAAGCAGAAATGAGAGCTGAGATTTGATCTTATCAGAGAATAAATACTAAGCACACTTTCCAAGGGCAATGTATCAGTGTTCTTTACAATCCATTTTTTTCCTCAGACATATTGTGATGATGATTTTGCTGAATATCTCAAGAATTCCACACACTGACGAAGCATTAGTTCATACTGGATGCCCAAATGGCATCATCTATCCAGAAGTAAGCTCTAGTGTTTAAACCTCGAGGTCTGAATTGACGGAAGGAATGGAGGGAAGACACTGACTACAATCTTTCTCAAGAGGGATGCAGACTTGAGAAGCATACACTCACCAGAAACCCTCCAGTTCCCATATTCCTTGTGAGAGTCAAGCCGAGACTCATGTTAGTTTTCACCTCAGTCACATTTTGGATGCTGGTTAAAGCTGTCAGAGGGAAAGGGATTTTTAAAAGAGATTAAATCCACATTTATTTAAGGTTGTTCTAAAAAAAAAAAAAATCCAAACGGGCACACCCGTATTTAAAAGCAGCACTGAATGTAAGGTCAGATATCCAGAAGCCTGGGTCACAATAATGCAGTGTAGGAAAATGAGATGCTTTCATCTGTAATACGTGAGGATGTAGAGTGGGGTGCTAATGCTTTTATTTCCTTGGATTATTAAAAAATATACTTAAAATGTTATCAAAGAACATCTGATAGAATCTGTCTCAAAGCAATAGTGGGTGAATTTTCAAAGAAAATCATGGGCCTAACAAGGTAAACTAACAAATGGCACTCTCCAACCTTTTAGATCTCTCACGCTGAACTAAAATATCGGCTACTATATACATCCTAAATCTATGGGACATCACAATTCTCCTCAGTCTCTCTCATGTTAGCCAAACCATCATTGCCACCTTCATTTATCCTTAGTTGGATCCCTGACCTCATTTCCTGCACTGACTGTTAGAAAACTTTATGCTTCTTGGAAAGACTCCAACCTCAACCCAGGTCTTGTCACCCTCCATGTATAGCAGAGAACACCAATCACGCTCTCGGGGTAAACTCCAGTCCTCTTATCATTATGTGACGATCATTCCTAGGAAGCCCTATTTTTTCTCCACTTCCTCTCTGTCTTAAAGGAGGGAGCATTATTCCCATCAGTTTCCCAGGCACCAGTGACATTAATTCCATCCGTGAACTCTACCCTTATCTAATAGTCACTCCCTTTTACCAGCTCCTGACACTCCTCTCCTACACATAGGATCGTCTCCCTTTTACTAGAAAGGTCTTCTCTAATCCAGCAGCCTATAGAACCGTTTTTTCCCAGCTCTCCCTCATTATTCAATTTCTGAAAACAGAAGTCTGCTGTCACCTTTTGTACTTTTTCACTCCCCACCCCTCCTTAAATATTTCCTGTGTGTGCCCCCTGAAGCATTATTGGATTTATAGCCTAGGTGAGTAAGTTACATAAAATATGATTTGCTAAAGTGCAGGAAGAAAATAATAGAGCCTCTCTTACTATGTTTTTAAATTTTGAATTTATTTTTAGTTAAATAAATTATGTAGAATATAATGTCACTACATACATATATATACATTTAAACAATAATAAAAATATATATGTTAGGGCTGAGTGCTCAAAAGTTAAGGGTGATACATTATAGGCATATTATAAAGCTTCTGAACTATAACACTAAAACTTTTAAACATTCACTTTTAATACATATATTTGCATTATTTAAATTATTAAATAATTTAATTCTTAAATAACTAAATATACACATGCGATGTGTTCAAAATGTTTGGAGATCACTAAACTCCAATTACCTGCAACTTCCTTAAGCACGCTGAAGATCTTAGCCCTCATAACTCAATTTCTGTAGCACATGATGCTATTCATATTCCTCCCACCTCACAAAAAACATGTTTACTGAGCCAGAAATTGTGCTAGAAATTAGATATACAGAAATATGTAAGAAACACCTCTGCCCTTGTTTTAATTTTTTTTCCTATACTGGAAGCCAAACCCAGGGCCTCACCTGTGCTAGGCAAATGCTGTTCCAAAGCGACATCCTTAGTGCCAATTATTATTTTTAAAACTTTTCATTGATTTCACAATATTTAATGCTTCAGTTTTTTAGTAGAACTCTATGACATCTCACTATGGGTTTTTTTGTTTTCTGGATTTTTCTTTTTTTTTTTTTTTTGTCAATGCTGATTTGATGACCAAATTGAGTGACTATACTAGAAATCAGTGTATGGATGTATTATCATTTAACTATATATTCTCTCATCTTCAATATTTTTTGCATTATAATAGAAAGCACCTAAGAGGTGGACAATTAAATAGCAAATAATTCCAAGTTGTGAGCTTTTGTTTATTAGAATGCAATCATTCAGATAGAATCTAAAATACAGAGTGCTTCTTGCCACATCCAAACTCAGCCCTAGAGCTAATATTTCTGTATCTAATGTTTTGTTTTGCAAAGAGAAGGGAGAAGAATATGAATAGTCTCAGATTTCTGCAAGTGATTGGCAAAATAATCCTAACACTGACGGAAATCTGTCCACGGTCTAAGGTACATTGATCCAGGAAGTACCGCATTTCCTATGCATCCTGTTAAATGAGATCTTCCCTTGGTTAGGGAATTTGGATTCTGTTGGACTCCATATAATGTAAGAGATAAAGGCAAAAATAAACAAAACCTTTGACATTTCTTAAGACAGAATAATGACTGTTTTCAGTGGAGTATATGACAAAGAAGATCTTGCTGTTTGCTAGAAATCACATTGGTAATTAAAACTTACTTTGCAAATTCAGTTTTTCACATGTAGCAGTGGACAGGTCAACAGGGCATTTATATACATCTCCCATTCGGTTCTCTGGAAAGCCACTCCAAGGTGAACCGACCAGTAACCTACAAACAGGATTTTAAAATTATATTACAGTATGTATAAATATAGTTAATATCTTAAGGATAGTTTCTTAAAGATAAAAATGACCAAAAAATCACTTAAAACATATTTAGCTTCATATTTGTCCAGTTATAATTTGATCTGCTTCCTTTCTATTCAGCTGATCATGACCCTTCATGAATACCTATAATATGGCTACTTACCACACACCCTGAAATGTCTCACCAAAGAAGCGCTGTCCCAGAGAAACATAATGCAAGCCACAAATGTGAGTCGCTAGGTAATTTTAAATTTTATAGAATCAACCAATAAATAAAATTAAAAAAACAGGTAAATCAGATTTAATAATATATTTTCAACTCAATATATCCAAACCAGCATAGAGTCAGCATAAAATTTATAAAGGAGCCATTTTCATTTTTTTCTACTAAGTCTTAGAAAGCCAGTGTGTACTTTATATTTAGACCACATCTCAATATAGACAAGTAACATTTCAATTGCCCTCCAGCCACATATGTCTTGAGTTTACCATATTGGTCAGCATAGTTCTAAAGCATGAAATCACATCAAAAACCAAGAACAACTAACATTTGTTGAATGCTTTCCACACCCTAAACACTGTCGTATTTTATGTAGGGATCAGATGAGTTACTAAAGTGGCTTTACATTTATTGTCACTCTATGGTTATACTTAGCAAAAACACAGAACTTATTAAGAGGTTCTTATGTGTAGCAGTGTGTGTATATCTAAAATACAAGATGAGGCTGGCACTCATATCCTTCCTTTGGTTAGTTTCACTTCCTGCAAAGCCTCTCCAACTAGAGATTATGTGTTTCCCTGCTGAAGCACTCACTTGATGTTTCTGACCACACAAAAAGTCCACGTAACAGTCTGATCTTTAGAAATTGCGGGTTAAGTACTAGGGAAGCATATTTGCTTCAACATTTTTCTTCTTGTCAAAATTGGAAAGGTTTAGATTATCTGTGAATTTTGATTTCTTTCACAAGTCTTCTATATAATTTATTATCATGTTATTAATTAAACATGTGCCTCCATGCAAATGTGTTATAGAGGACACAAGAAAACTAAGGCAGACTTTTTTCCACCAAATGTAGAAAAGCCATTTAAAATACATGACGAACTGAAAGATATAATTTAGTTCTTCTGTGGGGCATGTGCAAAAGATGCAAAAATGGACAAAAAGATGAAAGGTTATAGTTTGCCAATAAACTTCTGCACTTGTTGATTTTAAAGTTATTCTTTCAGAACATCATAGAATACTTTAATTCGGTTAACTTGGACTACACTTAGAATTGAAAGATTTCTGTTGTTTTATAAGCTGACACTACTATAACAATATCTAGCTGTTAAGATAGTATAGTGAAGATTATGATAATAACAATCAGTTTGAAATTTTTGAAAATGATATCGGGCTGTTTGGTGTTAGGACATTCCCATATTCCCTTAATAGAAGAAAAGACTCAGTAACAGAATCTCAGTGTACATTTAAGCGTATCTGATGCTGTTCAAATTCATAACCACTCAGAGGAAATTAGGAATCTTTGTTTTTCAACCCTGTCTCTTTCTTGTATTTCCTTTATTGAAATTCCAATATTGTAGTCAACTCTTGTATTGCAACTCCAATGCTCCCTGCATCTCCACTATTGCAGGAACTCAACACCTCTGCAGACAAGATTCTCTTGCTTCTAAACCCACAATGGCTATTCTGTGTCTGGCAAGTTCTACTCATTATTTAGATTTTCTATTACACACTCTTTCCTCCAGAAAGTCCCTCTTTCTCTTCCAAATCTGGGGACTAGATTCCCCACCACAGACAAAAGATAGGAGAGGGCTAGGGATCATGTGCCTGTAGGACTAAATAATTAATTACCTGTTGAACAAGTAAATGAACAATTCTATATTATGATTTAAAAGAACTGTCCTGGTTGAGGAAAAGTTAAGTAGAAAAATCCTTAACTTTGTTGTGATTGAGGAGCATTTTTTAATACAAGCAAAAGTTTTTTTAAAAAAGGATAAAAATGTCAACCAACTCAAAATTGACCAAGTTAAAGTTATTCTGTCATCTGTTTCTGATTCAGCCTTCACATATCTATGACATGTCACAGTTTTACTTTATTTTTCCCCAACAGTAACTGGCTGTGGAGTCTAAGGAAAAGAATAGTAACTTAAAATAAAAAAAACTATCATAGGAATGTGATTCTGCCCCTTGCCATATTGGAAATTTCTATGAATTATAGCAAGTTTTATATTTCCTAGAAGGTGCAAGAGTTTCCATACATTTTCTTATTTAATGAGCATAACAAATCTGAAATTGTCTTATCGCCATGTTATAGATAGAATCACTGACACACAGAGAGATAAGCAACTTCTTCAAGATCAAATAGCAGGAGAGCTGACTGTACCCTATTCTGAAGCTCGACTTCTGAACTTTTCTCCTTCCTTTAACCTGCAAACTAGCAGAGAGCTGAGATAAGATAATTATTTGAAATGAAACCAGAAACAGAGAGTGAGGCTATACTTATTAGGACTGGGATTGTGGCATGTGGTGTGGAGGGGGCTGCAGACCAGGCACCTGCCTTGGCCACCTCCCTGTGAGTGCACATCCCCATGGAGGGACCTGGGCTACACTCTTGGCAGTAGCAGGTAAAGGCAGGGCATGTTCATATCCTTCCAAAATCTGTAATTCAAGTGACTTCTATTATGGGTCCTCCCTATAGGCTAAGAGAGACATTCTGGGAGACAAAAGGTAAGTGTTTCTGATCTAGCATTTAAATTTCTTGTTCCTCAGAGCCTTCAGCAGGAAAGCCATACCACAAGTTCTCTGTTATTGCCATCAGAAGATGCACAAAACTATTTTCTGCTTTGTGTCAACCAAGCCTTCCCTTAGCACTCTCCCCTTCAAGTCCTCCCATCTGAAATTCAAGATCTAATAACCTCGAAGAGGTGTTAAGACATCACCACTACCACTGTAAGAACAGTGCCCCCCCAAGTGAATCACAGAGGCGCTCATCTGCCCTGCTGTGTGCCACTCAACAGAGGAATGTGAAAGCATTTGAAATTCTCTGGAAGAATACAAATAAATACAAATAAAGCTTTGACAGTTTTATGTACTAATAAGAGCTGTTTTAAGCTCTTAATACAAGACAGTAGAAAACAGTGGACCACCAGACCATTCTGGTCATTGTTCAACATCACAGTGTCCTAATCACACATGCCTCATCCCTTAAGTATCCAAAGGCAGATTAGAAAGTGGCCTCTCAGACATAATAATGACTACAGAGTTAGTTTTAAAGTCTACTGCCCACCTCCTTTACTGGGAACCTTCACAGCAGATAAGTCCTCACTTCCTTCCTGAGGCCTTAGTGGAATCTGGTTCCTGACAACTCACCATCTTGAGGACGGCCAGTGACATCAGCCACCAGTGGCCACTCCCAGGTCATTGAGACATTCTTAAATTAATCAGACAGGAAGTTGAGGAGGCTGGTATATTTATCCATAAAACTACACAAGCAGTTGTAGCAGGAAGAGGGAAACCAGGACAGAATGTCATAAAAGATAGATTGCTGGACAAATCCTGTAGAAATATGGCAAAGCTTCTTTGAAGCAATGGATTTAATTTAATCTCAACCAGACAAAAGAGCTACCTGAATAGTCAGATGTGCTGATTCTCAGAGCAAAACAAAATCCCAAGATATAGACTTCTTTTTTCCTGCAGGGAAACTGGGAACTCTTCCAAGTCTACTTTAAATAACACTTACTGTTCAATTATCTTGTGGGAAAATAGTGATTATGGAGACTCCCAAAACATAGCCAATTTGCCCACCTCCAGTGGAATTCAAAATACTTTTGTCAGTAAACAGTTATTTAGAGTGGTGCAGGTAGGGTAGTTTTAAACCCACAATCCAGGAGCTTTTTTTATAAATATCTCCCTTTGCTCTGTGGGACTATATTCTCTGAGTGTTCCTTCAATACTGGAGATGTTTCTGGAGATTACTGAGAGGTGTACTTAAAATACTATGGCAAAACATTTTGTTCAATTCAATTAAATAAATGTCTATTGAGCTCCTATGAGGTTGACATGTTTCATAATTCCAGGGGATACCACTGTCATATGAACTGTGTGTAGTATACAACCTGTGAGGCTGTGCATAGTGGATAGACTTATCATGAGCCACACTTGATTCTAGGTACTCTAATGCATCTAGGGATACGTTATTGAATAAACCATTCAAAATTTCTGACTTCTGAGTTTATATTCTTGTGAAAGAAGACAGATAACAAATCTCTTAAGTAAAACATGACGGAGCGATCAGTTCTTTAGAGGAAAAATGAGCAAGAGGTGTGTAGAGTGGAGAATGTTGTAATCTTTATTAGAATACTCAGAAGAGTGAGGTGATATTTAAATCGAGATTTGAAAGTGGTGAAAGAATGAGCCATGAGACTCTGCTGGAAGCACAGCCAGGGTGTGGGAACAACAAGTGCAGAAGCCCTGTGGCCAGGACAGAGAGCACAGGGAAAAGCGGTCACTGAGGTCAGGCTGGAAAGGAGCCAGATCATCCAGAGACTCTGAATGAAGAGAGAAAGCTGTTGGAGGGTTTTGAGTAGTCAGATGATCTGACATATTGACATACTGCTGAGAGTCTGAAGGCTGATCTGTTGAAATGATTACCCTAGAGCAAAGGGAAGCACTTAGAAGGTGACTTCAACAACCTAGGCATGAGAAGAAGATGCAGGGCTTCTAGGGAGTGGAGTACAGCGGAGGAGAGGCATCTTATTAAGGTGTATTATGAAGGGGGCGCCAGCAGGATGTCTGAGGGGCAGGTCTTTGAATTAACAATTCCAAATAAGTCAGTAAGGAAGTAAACAGGAAAAGGGAGAAAGCAGGAAGGAGGAAAGGAAAGAAGAAAGGGAGAGAGGGAGAAAGGAAGGAGGGAGGAAGGGAGGGAGGGACTTAGATATGACCCCATGGCTGAAAAGCAC